ACGTACCTTGCCAGAGTGCTCAAACTGACAAGTCAGTGGGCTCTGCATAACGCAAACAGCTTAGGCACTACCCCACGCAAGAGTGCTCAACCGCTACAAGAGCAGGAGCGAAATACTCAATCTCCGGACAGAACTGTTTCGTCCTTTGTGGACTCGTCAGCGCAGCACAGAGGAAATAAGGCCGAACCTGATAGCAATGGAAATAAAAATTTCCAATCAGGCCTGAACGTACCTTGCCAGAGTGCTCAAACTGAAAAGTCAGTGAGCTCTGCATAACGCAAATAGCAAACTACCCCACGCAAGAGTGCTCAACTGCTACAAGAGCAGGAGCGAAATACTCAATCTGCGGACAGACCTGTTTCGTCCTTTGTGGACTCGTCAGCGCAGCACAGAGAAAATGAGGCCGAACCTGATAGCAATGGAAATAAAAAATTCCAATCAGGCCCGAACGTACCTTGATATATAATTATGTACTTCCTTTGCTAACGAAATGAGATGAATATAATACAATGTATGTATGGATTTTGGTGAACTTAGCCTTTCGCATTCAAATCTGCTTCAAGGTTTAGACTTGGAGCGGTTTTAATGGGAAAGTTACCAGGCATAACCGCGGGGAGGTGCCACCATCTATGCCCACTTGGAGGTCAACAGTTCCTTCACCAGGAAGGAATTGTCGTCATCCCATCCAAGCGTTTCTTCACGGAGTTGTCTCTCCGGCATTGTTCTTGCAGTCTGCACTCCTGCACCATACACATCGCCTTTCAGCGCTTCACCCGTTGGGAGCAGGAGTCGTTATTAAGGAGGCTTGAACACGAAGGATCAAGAGGGGTTAATAGCAGCATTCGGCCTGAGCCAGATTCTTATCAACCACTACACCACACCGCTATGCTCTCCGACCGACCTCGACACGTTGCCACAGCACACCATCAGCAAAACGACACTTCAATTGGTACTCTGCTCCTTCAGACAGCAGCTGTTACGATCACCAGGATCTCGTCAGTGAAGGTTGATAATGTAGAATGGCTAACAGATAGTGAACTTCACCCTTTTGTAGCGAAAAAGGGGAAACATAATGGCGCATCTTAGGCGCGAAGATTAAGGCGCGAAGATTAAGGTAGCAGCCTGGTCGTAAATTTCATATGGCATTCAATAGACCGTAAGTTTGGTGTCTCTCAGTGGATTTGAGTGAAAATTTCACCACACACGCCTGCCTCTATCCTGGCCTTCTCGTCGTGATTTAAAAGTTCTTGCACCTCAATGACAGGCTTTCCAGGCCGGAAAAACTCAAAATTCCGGCATAGTGCCACAGTGTGCGAGTCACCCAGGAGCCAAATTTATGCATTTACAATTTTTCACATTTTCTTGCCCATTCTGTCCTTGCGTGGGATCCAAACCTAAAATATGTCCACAAGCAGCCATGGAAGGGATAGGGCCCCTCAACGTGGCCCTGGATTCTGTCACATGAGGGCACGAGTGGGCGTTCTCCCATAGACTTCCACAGACCCAAGTCAAGTTTTGAATTGTTTTAGGTTTAGGGCGTGCTATAAGGTCGTACCTTGATACAACATCCAGTGCTGGGACGTACACAGCAAGCCATTTCCACAGCGCTGCAAACCGAATCCAGGATACCCTCAAAGATCGGCAAAGACTACCACTCACGTTCCACTACTGCCTAGTACTGAATCCTACCTGACTTCTTGACACGACTCAAACTTGCCAAAGTCACTAAATCAACGTCAACTACAATAATCAAGCCACATATCTGCAACGTCACGAGGGTGCTGGCAAAAGCCGTGCAGCCCAATACGTGGCTAAAACACTTGGTTTTTGGACTTGGATCAAAATGTTTCACACTTTCGCGTGTTTCCATGATACGACAAGTTGCGCAAGGACTGCTCACATTCAAATACAGTGCTGCCGACAAATGACAGCGTGGAACTAAAAAATCTTTCCTTGCAAGGGCACATTTTCTGCCATAACCCTTGAACGGATGGTCAGATCGAGACAAAATTTTCAGAGATTTTGCAGCTGGTCATGCTCTTTCAACTGATGTAGCACTCTTTTGCTTAGCCTTAATTTTCGCGCCTTAATCTTCGCGCTTAACATGTGCCATTATGTTTCCCCTGTTAGCCATTCTACATTATCAACCCTCACTGACGAGATCCTGATGATCGAAACAAATGCTGTCTGAAGGAGCAGAGTGCCAAAGGAAGTGTCGTTTTGCTGATGGTGTGCTGTGGCAACACGTTGAGGTCGGCCGGAGAGCGCGGCGGTATGGTGTGGTGGTTGATAAGAATACGAACACGAATGAGACAAGGAAATAAGTATATTCGCATATCACCGGCACACAAACACACAGACACGCATGCACTACTAGCTAGCAGCAGATACTTACGGAAATGTTCTACTTACTGGCTTTACGAAAGACGGTTCGGCTGCAAGGAATTGTCGGCCGTAACCCTAGTGCAGTGGTAGCCGAGTGGTGAAATACTAAGGAGGCACACACCAATGAGGCCAACGAAATAACTATATTCAAATGTTCTCCCGCACAGACGAGTTAAAAGGCAATAAAGTCAATGCAAGAAGTTTGCTCACTCCGGTAGCACACACCCGAGTTTTGATATAAAACTCTCTGTTCTGAACTGAAACATTTATTCTCGAAGCAAGAATATGCAATCGCTTTTATAGGCACACCGCGGCAGTGCTACCAATCAGAAAGAAAGAGCAAGAAAGAGAAAGAAAGTGCAAGAAAAAGGAAAGGTCAAATCGGGTTACATTGACCGACAAGTACTTCAAGTACTTGGTGGATGTGTGTGTGTGTGTGTGTGTGAGTACAAGTACAAGTGTCTGTTACTGTGACTCTTACTTCGTGGTTTCACGCTATTTGTGTTGTGAATAAAACCGTTCTCAAAAGTACAAGTGTCTGCGTGAACACTCTGGTCAATGCGACCGCTGTTCGAGACAATACCTGACGATAGCAATTGAGGGGTTCTGCATTACGTACCGGTATGCATTTAGGCATGGTGTCAGCACATGCAGGCGGACATAGGTTTAGTGGGTCGAAAGCAAGTACAGCTTAGTAATGTGTTCACACTCAAGAATGGCGATGAGTACAGTGTGCTAGCCGGAATTGCGTTAGCAATGACGCTTGTGATGCGACGCAAGCTAGACGAGGAGCCGGCAGCGAACTCCGTGAAAGTATGACGTGGGGTGCAAACATCCAGCTGAAGAGGAGGAGAACTACTGACGTGGACATGAACGTCCGGTAAATTGACCGATTGGCCGACGTCCTCAGTGCGTACAGAAATTATGATGTAATTACGGTGCAATGTTGATCACACAGACAGCAGGTCCAGAACCCTATGGGGGCTATGCACTTTAATGAGAGCCGATTGGAAATTTCAAAATTCTGCATAATTTTCATGTTGTTTGGGACGTAACTTCAGTTCTGCTCACTCAATCTTCACAATCTTGGGCTTTCTGGAAAGGTCCCCGCGAGCGGAAGAGACAGAGATCGCGCATAATGACAAGGACGCCATATCTCCAGCGCCGGAGAGCAGCGAAATAGCGAAAACTGCTTCTAATGCGTGCAATTTCGTCCTGCTCCAGCGATTTCATTTTTCTCGATCGCAGAGTTTCGATTTTTTCGATGTGTACCCATGGAAATAATAGTAGTGAAACCCACGCAAATTTGAGTAACTCAGCGCCAAGAAAAGTCTCAAAATTCTCAAGTTTCGCGTTGCACTTCACGTTTTTCAAGTTGCCGCGATCGCGGCTGAAGTTACGAGCAATTTATCTCAGGAACCGTCGATCGCAGCGCTTCGCGGATGTGTTCTACGGCACGCTGAGAGTTTTCTCTTCGACTAAGATATTTGGATCGTTGTGTTTGAGCTAGTTTTGATCGAGTCACGGCCTGTTGAAGTCTTACAGTCGAGTGTGTAGAATTCTACACATTCAAGTATGGGGCGGCTCTCAAAGGGTTAAATTGACTTTAAAATTAATATTAAATTATAATGAAAACTGCATAAGGCTAACCCTAAGGCTGACCGCCTATCGTGGGGTCCGTCGCATTGAAGGATGATGGTACAAGACTCGAAGAGAGTTTAGATTTGATCCATGCAGGTAGCTACGATTACACTCCGCTCATTCCAATCCAACTGTCTATTAGCACATTTCAGCATTGATTGTCGCTCTGCATGTCGCAAGATCGATTGTCTCTCATCGCATCTATGCATTGGATCAAAAGATCAACTGTCCGTCATCGCGTCTCAGCATCGATTGTCACTCATCGTGTCACAAGATCGACGTTGTTCAATTCGTAGCAGCATCGTATACCAGCCGCGTCAGATCTTGAGTGTCATGTCAGTCGATGCGCCAGATTTGAAAAATCACTTCGGAACACCGAGTTCTATTTTTCAGATGCACCCTTTTTGTGCACTTTTCTCAAGGCATTCTCAACATTTGATCGTTTCATGTAAATACACTGCTTGCCAGTCTCACGCTTTCTCTGAGTTAGTCGTCGCACTCGAGGATTCAGTAGTCGCCTTTCACCTTTTTCTGTTATGAGTTCTTCAAGAACGGCGAAATTCTGTAGTTTGGTGTCGCTGCACGTCGGCTTGTCTCTTTTCCTTTTTTCGTCGAAATTTCGTCGCCCGACCTATAATTTCGTGCCACCGAATTAACCAGGCATTTCGCTGCTTCTATGCTGGACGTATCGAAAGAGTAAGTCTTTGTGACATTGGAGTGGAAGTTATGTTCTGGACGAAAAAAGGGCATGCCTCTGGTGACGTGATTTCTAACTAGTGTTTTTACGTGTATTTCCATGCATGTGTGCACAGATGTCAGCGGCAGGAAGACCCAGCAATGCCACAAGCATGCATGCTTGACGACCATGTGGCCCAGAATGCAGCATTTGCTCCAAAGTGCCATCTGACAAGCGATTTACACATGGCTCAATGCTGTCAGATTGGCAAAAGCTACACACATGCACATCCATCATGTCAGGCCAATGCATTTATTGCAAGTGCGTCAAAGCACTACGACGCCAAGTATGCACAGCAGCGAAAGAAAATAAGCCACCAGTCAGCCAAAGCATATGCAGTGTACATGATTGCAGCGCAGCGGCATCCGTACACTGTCCTGCAGACAAACTGCGCGTGCACAGTCCGAAAGAACAGTGCGAACCGGTTCTGTGCCCGACCCATTACCAGCAGTGTGTGGTCTGTGAGAGAACGCCCAGGCCAATGCATTTGTTGGAAGTGCGTCAAAGCACTACGACGCCAAGTATGCACAGCAGCGAAAGAAAATAAGCCACCAGTCTGCCAAAGTACATGCAATGTACATGATTGCAGCGCAGCGGCATCCGTACACTGTCCTGCAGACAAACTGCACGTGCACAGTCTGAAAGAACAGTGCGAACCGGTTCAGTGCCCGGCCCATAAGTTACCAGCAGTGTGTGGGCCATGCAACATGTGCTTGGTGTAAGTCGAGGCTCACACCAGAACACAGGACAGGTGGAAGTCACCAAACTTTCAACTTGCAGAGCATGTGTTGCGTAGCATGCACAACGTCAGGATTTCAGACGAGTCGATTTTGTAGATGCTGCTACCGAAAGCAAATTGACATGCTCCCTGCCGACAGTGCACCAAGCACAGACCACCAATTGCGAAGCATCATCTCTCAATACAGCACGGAAGGTGCCGAGAGTGATCTTCCCAATATAGTCATTGCCGCTATAGCACGTGAATTGCTGGACAAGGGTGCCATATTGTTGACGACAGTGCATGATTTGTATACAGAGACTGTGCACCCAACTGCTGACCCCAAGCCAGCGGCATACGTGCTCGGCAAATTGAAGTTGACCCTGGAGCACCACTTGCACGTCATTCCACCCAAGTCGCGGAAGGATGGCACATTGCTGCTACGCAATGGATGTAATGCTGAGCAGGCACTACATATGATCCTTTCTGCAGAGCGTAAACACAAGATAGAGCAAACACCAACAAAGCTGGAAGACCTCACTCTGCCAAGCTCACAGCACAATTGATAGCCAGCAACCGAATAATACAATTATGTACTTCACAAGTACACAACATGAGAACCCATTTACACCAAGGTCTAATATCGGGCAATGCCATTATGCTCCCAGCACGCGGCACAAGAAAATGGTAGAGCTTCGCCGACATTGCCTTGATTTTGTCGTAATGTGATGGTGTGTGCGTGTGTGTGTGTGTGTTCACTTCAAGGTACCAGTGCATCTATTGTCTGCTTCTATCAAAGCAGCGTGCTGTATACTGGTTACCCCAGCAAGTGTAGGATGTGCATGGATAACTGCCTTGGCCGTTTTATACCGATGTACTCCGTGTGGTGTAGATCAGGTGTGCATTGGTGGTCGATTCACATGGCTTCGCCAGTTGTGTGGATTAGACAGTTATCTGGCGCAAGTCTTAATCTGTCTCATTCAGATATTGTTCGCTATCGTTTCTACAAGAGAAAATCTGTGGGTGTACATCCAGTGCATTTGCAGATTTGCGTGCTTCTCTTGCGACGGGCGTATACATGGTGGTACATGGTGTGTGTGTGTGTGTGTGTGTCGGCCGTTGGGCGGTTCAATAGCCAATTGAGTCATCTTTCCAAGATTCCTTTTTAGTCTCTCTCCTCTCTCCCGGGGAGACCCACGTGACCAGTTTTGGCAGTGAGCAACAAGTACAAGTACAAGTGTGTGTGTGTGTGTGTGTGTGTGTGTGTGTGTGTGTGTGTGTGTGTGTGTGTGTGTGTGTGTGTGTGTGTGTGTGTGTGTGTGTGTGTGTGTGTGTGTGACTGTGTGTGTGTGTGTGTACATTACATATTGCCCTATCAAAAATATATAAATAATATGGTGAGCCAATGTAAGGCATGGATAAAAAGAATAAGGACAAAATGTTACGAGTTATGACTAACTGTCCACCATGTACCAATGTAGCTAGATTATACAGTCGGCGAGTACGACAAAAAGCCACAAACTGACAGGGAATACTAAGACATACAACGACCAAATAATATTCAAGTTAATTTTGACCTGGAAAGAAATTTCTATAATTTCGTGCCGTCGGATTAACCAAGCATGCAACGAAAGGAAAGGTATACACGCTTAGACATATATTATTAGGCAATTATCTGCACCAACCTGCATTCCTGCCGAAGCATCATGTCGGGTGTGGTGGGTCGGCATTCAGACGTATCTCCACACACCAGGAAAATCGTGAAGCGAGAATTCTCTCGTCTGAAACTGGCAAAGTCTTCACTTGACACTCAAGTTGAAATTTCTAGATACCTAGCTAATAGGAGCAGACTTCAGGACATTTGTCGCACTCGGACATCGTCAGTTCGATCCGTACAGGGTTAGTTAGACACAAGAAATATAGCTAATTTCATTGACTGACATCTTCATCTTTACCAACACAGTTCACCACATAAACTTTCGCGCGAAAAAAATAAAAAGACCCACTCAGCTGGCTTGGCGCATCGACTGATGTAGCAAATGTCGTACGCTGCAATGGGCACAACGTTTTTTTTTAAGTAAAAAGGTAATTGACAGGAGCCGTCAGAATTTGTATCCCACCAGTAAAGATATCTAAGAGCTTGGGACTGCTTGAACATACCGGTACATGTACATGTTGCTAGTACGTCAATGTTATTTTCAGCTGACCTGCAGGATAATGGTCTTGGGAACACATCTTGTACGAGCACACGCTTCTTTGAACAGTATTTTCTTGATCATAAAGGCATTGCTCCGCTCCTTCCTTTGTTCCTTCTCGTCCTTCCATTCTCCGTCTTCAGCCGTCAGAGAAACCTTCTTCTGCACACAACTATTACTTGAACCTTGAACTTGCTCATTGCCATAGGCGAAGGACTAATTCGGAGGCAACCGGCAGAAAGGTTCGTGGCGCTTGATCTCGCGGGGGCCGGCGGCGCGTCTTCCCGAATGCACAACGATATTCTGGCTCGGCGGAGACATCACGCGGCTGAGGACGACGGTGGATTACTTCCACGCCGAGCAATTCTGGGCAATGTCGAGCCCTTCCTTCTCCTGTACAGGTGGATGAATGCAGTTGACATCATCCACAACCACATCCTGCCAACACTTGCGTGGGCCGTGCAGAGGTCGAGTTGCGGGGAGCTCCCCAAACAGAATACGCTTGAGCAGACGGTCATCGTCCATGCGGCCAATATGGCCGAGCCATCGTAGCCGATGCTCGTGGATGATCCCGCCGATGTCCGAGTCGATTCCGTGGGTCTTCGCCAATGTTGTAGAATTGACTCAATCATCCCATTCCTGGTGTCTCGAGATGCCTACGCATTGATGGTGGAGTGCGTTAAGAATGCACAGATCACTGGCGTCCTATGTGCTCAATATCTGGTGAGCCTCCACGTAGAAATTCCCTCTTGGATGCGTGCTGATGTAATTGACGTCGGTCTCTTACCTTGCCCTTGAAGATACAGTGAAACCTGTCAAAGCGACCACTCTGATAAGGCGACCACCTGTCCCAGAAGACTATCGCAAGCAGGACCAAGGGATGGTATTTCCAGTCAAATGACCCTAGTAGATGAGGAGGCCACCTGGCAACGGTATAGCTTGTTATCAGTGCATTTTCCTTAGTTGACTGGAGTGTACGATAGAGTTTTGTTTGACAGAGTTTCTTAGCGCGACCAGTGTATCGTGAAGCTACGAAGGCGGGATTTTGTTGTTCGCATTGCTCCTCGTGATCGAGAACATACTTTTTTAATTCCTTGTTTCATTCGTATTGTTGACAGCCATGCGACCGAATGAAGGGAATAGTCTGACTGCCGATTTTCAAAAGCCTGTTTTACGTTTCCTTTTTATACTGACAAGCTGAAAGTTTGTATGCTGGTAGGCAGACCCTTTGGGATTGTACCTGGCGTAGTTGGCCATCGCGGAGCTGTGCACAACCTCGCGAAATCGTCGACTTTTGATTTCGAGGTTCGAACAATACGCACCCCATGCGCTGCTCAAAGCCGCACAAATTTGAATACCTGAGCAGGTGATGTGAATGACGACGCCGGCCCCCGGGAAAATTTGAATTCAATTCTCAACACTCGAAGTAGATGACAATTGTCCTTGCCTTTCGACCGCACGACAGTTTTTAGTTATCGTCAGGTGTATTGAGGTAGAATGGAGAGTGAGGAGAGCAGCACCGAGGACGAGGACTATGCGGACCCCTCACCCAGCAGTAGCATTCTGTTTTTATGCGAGCCAACACAACGAGGAAATGAGGAGAACGCAGGTGAGTTTATTTTGTAATTTAAATTTGTTAGTTTTGAAGCTCTTGAACAAACAGCCCGGACTGCCTTTGCCTTTGCAGTCCCATGAACTTGTGGCATGCACACCTCCAGCCAGAGGCAGAGGTGTGCATGCCACAAGTCCATGTTGCCTTGCACAGATGTATGTGGCTGTCGAACTTGCTCCACCAAACCTGGTTCCAGCCACCTTACAAGCAGCACCACCACTTCGGAGTCTGTGGAGGATTCCTCCGATTCCAGTGACTGTGGATCTGACAGTGATCCTGAGCCCGCTGATCAGAATGATGCAGCCACATGACGAGCCTGTCATCATTACTACTACAGTCTACGCAGGTGCGTGTACAATTTTCTGGATGGGTTCATTTCTTGAGCATAGCATTCGCTGCTATACCAGGCCGTTGTAAACTGTCAGATCGTGTGAAATTGACTTCAGCATAACAATTTAATGGAAGACATGTTTGATGTACCTAAGTGTGTGTGCACATGTGCGTGTGCGTGTGTGTGCGGCTGTGTGCATGTGTGTATACATCTTCAGTTGACTATTTCGACACATCCAAGACCAGACTCACCATCGGAAACATTGTCCATCATCTCTACTACCCGGATGGACGAAGTATCCGTTAAAGCCAATGGGTCAACGGGACAGGACGGGACAGGGGATAGGTGTGTGTGTGTGTGTGTGTGTGTGAGTGTGTGTTTCCGCCATGAGTGCCCACGCTGCAACAGGCAATTTCAGCGTCCCCAGGATCTGGGACGGCATCAGCCACTCGGTGTCATTGATGAACTTCTTCCGTGACGTCGTCTCCCACATCTTGGGAGCGGCGTGGCCAGCAATTGCAGCTGTATATAGTAGTAATAGTAGTAGTACAAGTAGTGTTAATGTGTGTGTGTGTGTTTGTGCATGTATGGGTGGGGTTGTCAAACGTGTGTGTGCTGCTGCTGCTGCTGCTATTGTTGTTGTTGTTGTCGATTTAGTTGTTGCTGTTTTTGATGTCTGACTAGGTGTAAACATCAATACAGCTGGCCATTACATATGCCTGGCAGATGATTCGCTAGTGATCCTTTGTCCTGGCAGTTGACACTCTAATTCACATTTCTTTTGTTTTGTCTTGTCTTTACTTTATTCTCGCAAGAAGACGGAAAGCCTGAACATGCTTGCTCTTACAAACGCTTCCGGATTGATGGTCCTGATGGGGATTCAGTGAATTTTCTTACTTCTGTGAAGAAGTTAATTACGATCGGCTTGACATACTGCTAAAACTACTGGCTAAATACCACGAGAACACTGCAATTCAGTTCCAAACAAAAGAAAAAAAAGTCGCCCGACGTGGGGTTTGAACCGGCAACGTCTTGAATTTTTGAATTTTTCAGGGTCTTGAGTGCTTGAAGAAGGTGCTTCAATGGCCGGAGATTTGTGAAATTCCAGTGCAGAAAATCTCTCGGTATGTCTGTTTCTGCACAGCTCTAGCATGGCCAACGAAAAGATTCAGCTTCCTACAAGTATAGTCAATGCACTGTAGAAATTGCAGGTTGTCAGCAGAAAAAGGAAGCACGCCTGTTGATACGAGCGATTTCTCAAATTTGGCTGCCGGTCTAGAAAGGAAGAAAGAATCGTCGTGGACGAAAGACTGACAGCACCGACAGCCATTACTACAATCGAGAGTTGGTATTCAGAGAGGATGACCCAGAATACGCTCAGGTTACTATGCTGTTTGGCTGTTGTCAGCTCGAGGCTTTCTGCTATGATGGCAGAACGCGGATTTGCCAAATTCGAGGAACGCTAAGGAGGAACAAAGTCTGGATAAAGCAAGGCGACATCATCCCGACTGGCGTCGTGGACTTCCATGATTCTAGAGCAGGCGTCATTATGAAGTGCAGCCATGAAGAGGCAAGGAGGCTGAAGGCCTATGAAGAGTTTCCAGAGCCAGCCAAGCTCAGCGACAGCGGGCATAAATTGGAGCACCTCCATGCGGTTATGCCTGGTTACGTTTGCATTCAGTTCGCTCCAAGTCAAGAACTTGAAGCAGATTTGAATGCGAAAGGCTAAGTCCATCAACATACGTACACATTCATGTGCAAGTAGTTTGAAGTAGATTGATTTTAACTCAGTTGTTAAGCACAGGAATTAATCATGTGCATGTATCAAGATTAAAAACTTTCCCACAGGTTACGGGTAAGAGTTCAGCAACAAGGCCAGATCGTGAGAAGTCGGACGTGCAAAATTGACAAGAGGTACGAACACAAAATCCCATACAGCCAGTATCTCCACCATATGCTCCGCAGCTCCGTGGGCAGATTGTTGCAGACCTGATTTGGCAGTGGTGTAGAATCGGACGGTCTAATGAAGTTGTTGTGAATACTTGATGGTCACCTTAGGACAGTGAAACCTGTCTAAGGCGACAACTCAACGGACATTCAAAATGTGGTTGCCATGTCGTATTTTATACCCTACTTTCGAAGTGCGCGTAGGCATTCACCAGCCAGCTAGCTGTATTTTTTTCTACAAAATCCACATATCTCCAGACACTGGGGCGAATGATAGAGTGTGGTGGTGGGGCCCATTAAGCTCCGCCGACCAGAGGTCTCGGCTTCATAGCTCGCTGGACGCACCAAAGGGAGATTGCGTAGGGAGGATTAAATTGAAAAAGAAAACAGAAGAAAGAAAATGGAAAGATTGTATCGCTCAGTGAGCAAAAGAGTAAGTTGAGTATTGATGTGAACGCTGTTAGACTTTTAAATTCAAGAGGAGACTGTTTGTGATGAGAGATCACATGTATGTCCAAGCAGGGTAGGACACTGTACCCTCTTACTCGCGTATGCTATGAGTGGCCCAGTGCCAGTTCGTTCTGAGGAGGTGGTGATGAGCTGCTGTCTTGATATTTTGGATGTTCTTTTGGTGAAATGGGTGGGGAATGACAGAGGAAGGCAGCTGGTTGTTTGTTTGTATTCTTTATTTAGAGTGGGAAGTCCAAAACAGGCCCTATCCTAATAACAATGGTCCCACTAGTGAGGGAATGCTGTATATCTGTGCATAAGGATCAGCGAGTATAACAGCAACTAGTAGGGAAAGAAATAGAGAGAAGAAAAACAACTCAAAACAGGAGTTGCGACTTGCATAGGGAGAAAATGCAGTTGGGCTGGCTGAGACAATCAGTAAATTGCTGTGCCCACCAAGAGTTTGAGTGGAATTACTGCGGCTGAAAAAGTTAGCGAACAACATGCTGATGTTAGAGGAGTCATGGAGAAAACGCCAGATGAAAACCAGAAGGTGCATGTTGGCGTATGTGGTCAATGTTTGGATGTTCATGCGTGTAAGAATATTTCTTGTGGGTGTCCCGGGAGGTACCCGACAGACTGTGCGTACAGCACCCTTGAAGAGCCCATTAAGCCGTCGACTTTGATACGCCGTGAGAAATGGTAAGTAAGCAGAAGCGGCATACATAAAGTGTGATAAAATGAAAGAACAAAAATAGGCTATGCGACATTGAAAAAGCAGGAATGTAGCGTATCGTCTGAGCACGCCAACTTTCGACGCGACGCACTGTGCGACGTGGTCGACCATGGTGTTCCAGCTCATGTCCGCATCAAAGTGGAGACCTAAATATTTCGCAGAGCGAACAGTTGGCAGAGGCACTCCATTACATTGCACTTGCAAGTCAAACGTTTGAGATCGTACTGGCGATATCGACATGATCTGTGTCTTCGTTTTATTCAATATGAGACCGCGGTTCCTAAGCCAATCGGCGAGGTGCTGGACAGCACTTGAGAGATTTTGGGACACCTCATCCGTCCTCATGCCGCTGGATCTAATTGGGATATCGTCCGCAAATTGCAGGATCGCAACGTTGTAAGGGGACAGGTCTTTCGCAATGTCACGGACGTAGAAAACTAACAACAGGGGCCCGAGAACTGACCCCTGTGGTACTCTGGAGAAGCTGGTGTATGGTGAGCTCTGTACCTGACCGACTTTGACATACTGTGTCCGATCTGAGAGGTAGTCTGCAAGCCATTGCAGCACCGTTCCACCAATTCCGACCTCGAATAGGTCCTGAATAAGGGTTTGGTGCTTCACCTTATCAGATTCTTTTGACATATCTACGAAAGCAATCCCCGTGAAGTACTTTTTTTGTCTGGGCTTGGCATATGCCCTCAACGGCTAATACAAGGGCATCACATGTGGAATGATGTGAACGATAGCCGAACTGAGTTGGTGGAAATAGATCATGTCGGCACAAGTACTGAGTGAGCTGATCATGGATGACTCGTTCCAAAAGCTTTGAAACTATCGACATTAGAGACACAGGTCTGTAATTCTTTGCTATGCTGGGATCACCACCTTCAAACAGAGGTGAAATGCTGGCCACCTTCATAGGAGCTGGGAAATGTCCCTCCCTCATGGATTTGTTGAACAGTAAGGACAATGACGGCGCAAGAACATCTGCGTGAGCTCTAAGAAGGGCTGCAGGGATGCCGTCACTGCCAGTTGCCTTCGTCGGATTCTGTTGCTCTAGAAGCTTCCGGACTTTTGCAATAGATACAGGAACAAATTTCACAAAACTAGTTGCCGTTCGTGGCCCTTGGGGTAGGTGAAGATGAACTGGGCGGCTGGGATCTTCCACGATCTTGGCGAAAGCACTTCGAATTGCCTCAGCTGAGCACTGCAGCGGTGCCGATTTTCTTTGTTTCCCCGTCAACTGGTTGATGATTCGCCAGGTTTGTTTTACATCACAAGTCACAAGCTGAAATGTTGTACTGTAGTACGCTTCTTTCAGCTTCCGGTTACAGGTAGTGGCCTCCCTTCTCACCGCTTTGAATGTGGCGTACCTTTGCTCAAATCTGTCTGACAGCCACTTTCTATGAAGCAGATTGCGCTTACTCAAAAGGTGCAAGAGCTGGCTGTCCATCCACGGTACCGATTTTCGCTTGTGCTGCTTA